GATATAACGCTCCGTCTCGTCGCTCTGGCCCCCGATGGCCACACGGCCACAGCCCAGCAGGCCCTGCAGCCTCTGGAAATGCTTCTCGTTGATGATGCGGCCCAGGTCTGGGGAGTTCCTGGGGTCCTCGCCATAGAAACGGGTGATGGCACTCTGCAGGGCAGGCAGCAGCCGCTCCTGCATTTCCGGGCTGCACAGAACGTAATCGGGGGCCACGCAGGTCTGGCCCATGTTGAAGTAGCGGAACCAGACCACGCGGTTGGCCACGGTCTGGGGGTCGCAGTTGTCGTCCACGTAGCAGGGGTTCTTGCCCCCCAACTCCAGCGTGACGGGTGTCAGGTGCTTGGCGGCAGCGGACATGACAGTCTTGCCAACCCGAGTGCTCCCTGAGTGTGGTAAGAAACCAGAGTGGCCTCAGTCACCTGGACCATGTGGATGGCTTTGGCCTGAGGACTAGGACCCCTCAAGGGGCGTTCGCTCCCTGTCCTGCATCTCCCTGGAGAGGCTGTTGAGTCAGGTGCATGCCAGCCCTCACCTGGCCTTCCCTTACTGTTCACTGCACCAGCAGGACCTTCCGAATGTCCCCACTCCCACCCCTAGAACCCCTCACACAATGCTGGGTCCTCACAAACTTCTACACACGGCCACAGGCCAGGCCCCCACTAGAAACCCAGAGCCCCTCCCACCTCCTACCCAATCTCCCTGCTTCTCTTCCCTGTCACCCCTCAGGTGACTCTCACACATGCTGCCCTGCACCTCCCCCCACCTCCCCACACTTCTCTAGAACCTTTAATGACTCCTACTACCTGAGGCCAGAGTCCAGCCCTAGCTGGGCGACATTTGGGCCTGTCCTCTGCCTGACGTAACCTGGCAGCCCTGCATTCATACTTACCCCTGGCCCTCCCCTCCTGACCCTGGGCTCTAAGTGGACAGCCTGACTTGTCCCCAGCTGTCCTCTGGGTTGATCTCCTGGGTCTCACAATCCACTCCTCCACTTAGCCTCCCCTGATCTAAAGCCCCCTCTGGGCCTTAAGACACTCCTGTCCATGCCTGGCCCAGGGACCTGTGCTGCCATTTCTGTCAGGATGGCCCTGGCCGCCACTGCCCCTGGGAACCTAACATGCAGTCACTTCTCTGCTGGCTCCTCCGGCTCCCTTCCCTCCAAGCCCCCACCCGTGTGCCCTCCCCATGGTCCAGGCCCCTCCCTCAGCTCCTCCTGTCTTTGCAAGCATCTCCTTGTCTGTGAGGACTTCCTGATCTCCCCTGCTCCGCGTTGAATCCCCACCTCCCAGTGGCCTCCCTCGTCATGTGCCTGGGCACGATCTGCGCTTTCAGGAAGCATTTACTGGCTGAGTGAATGAATGGGTGCTTCCCAAGCCACGTGCTATGACAAAGGCGACATGTTCATTTGCCCTCAAGATAGGCTGCAGATAAGGAAACTGAGGCCTGGAGAGGAGGCTCTGGCTGGTCCGCCCTGGGTACCCAGCCCAGAAGCCAGCCTCCTGGGGTCTGCCTCCCTCTGCACCCTCTGTTCTGGCGGGGGCGGAGGGGGGCACCAAGGCCCGAAGCCCATCGCGCTGCACGGCACGATGGTGGAGAGTGGGCCGGCGCCCTCCCGGCTGCCTTCTCCTCTTTCCACCCCTTAGAAATCTGCAGGAGCAGCTGAGGACCCCAGCCCCTCTGCTTCCATAGTCATCCCTGTCAGCCAAGGTGGCAACAGGCAGGCCTTGTCCTGGGCTTACAGCAGGGTCAGGGGAGGAGAAAGGCAGAGATTGCATGTCCTCTCTCTGACATGGACAAGGTGTGGGATGCAGGAGGCGGGTCAGCAAGCAGGCTGACGCCGCCATTGCCTCTCCGCCCTCTCTCTCTCCTCCAGGGCTCTGGCCCTGTAACATGGCCGCCTGTGTCCCATCTTTTCTAGCAAGTTTGTCCTGCTCCCTTGAAGCCAGGTGGTGGTGTCTGAGACACACGGGCACATGCTGGAGTGATGGCAGGTGACCACTGAGATTGATTCTGACCCAGGGCCTGGAAGCCAAATCCAGGCTCCCCCAATCCTGGCCAATGGGGTGACTTAGAGTGGGCACCGCATTTCTTTGTCACCCTCGCCTCTGCCCCCTCACGTGTCTAGCCTTCCAGAAGGGCCCAGGGGGCTGTGGGATGGTGTGTAAGGCTGTGGGGGTTGTGGGGTCATGTGTAAGTACCTGGCACAGTGGGAGCTCAGCAAGGGCAGATGCTGTGACTCTGAGATTATCATTGGCGTGGGGAGGTGGGGGGGTGTGGGGGAGGGCTGTGCCTGGGGAATGTGGGTCCTGGGGGCCCAAGGCTGCTCCCAGTCTGCTCAGGAGAGAGGAGCAAGCGGTCCTAGAGATCCCTCAGCCCCGAGTTCTTCCCGGCTGTCCATCCACCTGCCTTGGTCCCTTGTGGCCTCTCTCAGGGTGGACAAGAGAGGGTGGGGCTGGGGCAGGCCTCTGCCTCTCCCAGGCTGCGTGCCCCCTACCCCAGCCACTCTCAGCAGACTCCTCACCCGTGAAGAAGATGTAGTCGAACTTGTGTTCCAGCAGCTGCTGTGTCTCCTCGGGCCCGCCCAGCACCACAGCAAAGCAGCTCTGCAAGATGGGACGGGCGGAGGGTGCCCTCTGGGACCACAGCCCGGGAAAGGCAGAGGACAGCCTGCCTGCCTGACACAGGGTGGCCAGGGCTCTGGGGTGGCTGGGTGGGGGCAAAGTGGGGAGCAGGGAGCTCCCCAGGGGCCCTGGGCATGGGCGGNGAGGGGTGTCCTGCCCTTGTGCCCTTGAGGTTCCCTGGCTGCCCCCGGGGTCTTGAACGGAGCAGGGCTCTGGAGGGGAGCGGAGGGGACAATCAGGGCTCCTCCTCAGCCTACGAGTCCTGGCCGCTCGCCCCGGTCATTCCACCCCATGCTGTATGTGCCTTCCATGAACCGGGCACTGACAGGGGACACTGCGTCCATCAAGCCAAAATGATGAAGACTGGAGGTGGGACTGACCATGTCGGGACGCTGGACCCTGAGACGATCCCAGAGAGCTGCCCACTGAAGACCCAAGAGAATGTGTTGTAGATTGTAGAGAGAGGGAGGCCCAGCTGCTCCCAGAAGACAGTACAGGGACAGAACCAAGAGTGCCACCATCCCAGACGCCTGTGACTGCCCAGAGGGGCCAGGACCCTCGCCCCTCCCTTTCCCGGCCCCTTGGTCCTCTGCTGGCACCTGCCCCACCTCCATCCAGTCTGACCAGCCCTGCCCGAGCCCCCACCTGGCTGCTCTTGGAGAAGGCGTACAGGGACAGCGGCTTCTCCCGGCGGTTGATGAAGTCAATGGCCTCGTCCAGGCT